GGTGGAGGGCGGGACCAGCGAATGAGTGGGAGGGAGACAGAGGGCGACGTCACGACCCGTCGACCCGTTTGAGGTCTTTAGGTGCGCGCCACTCGGAGTGCGGTGCTTTACGGGATATTCGCCGATTGCCTTGTTAACCAATAATAAAAGCTCACTCGAGGCCCGCCTCGCGCGCGCTGCGCGCTGCTCCCGACCGCCCGCGCTCCACGGAATAAAAGCCTGAAATTCAATGCAATAAACGTGCGATAAAAGTTCGACTAAATTGGGTGTGTGACACCCGCGTTATTTTGCACTCTGTTGTTCGAAGCGTGACGCATGGTTTCTATACCGTCGCACACTTTCCATCAGGGTGGTTCCGTCAATCACAGATTTCAGCCCGTGATGTGATAAAACTGTCCTGTGCACAACACGTGCGAACCGCGTGCACAACGCGTGCAAACAGCGCTGTGCACGTGTTGTGCACGCGTTGTGCACGGGTTGTGCACAAAATGTACACGCTGTTTGCACGCGTTGTGCACGCGTTATTGTGCACGCGTTGTGCACGCGTTGTGCGCGCGTTGTGCACGCGGTTCGCACGTGTTGTGCACAGGACCGTCTTATCACACAAGTCTGTAAGGTAGTTAAAAGCAACACATTTTTCGAAACTTTCTTCGCTTTTCAATTTGTTTGTTTTTCTATGAGTGCCTTCTTCGCCCACATTGTCGAATGTCGCACACTTTTATTGGCAAGAGTATCAGGAATGCAACGGTGAGATTCCTCTCGCCTTGCGGGTCATGGCTCTCCGTGACGTCACTGTGTGCGCCTGTCCAGTCTGTCCGTCCCTGCTCGTCCCATCTGTCCATCCCTACTCCCAGGCTGTCTCTCTATCGCTCTCGTCCCAGTCTGTCCATCCCTGCCTGGCTGTAATGTGTCTCCCTACCGTATGTGTCTGGCCAATACGTCTCTGCGACAAGCCAAGCTTTGGTTCGTCTTATTAAAGGAAAATAGTGTCGAAATCATTTGTCGGTCACCGCTAACGAAGCTCGTGCGGGCCACTTTGAAGTGACGCGAGGGGCGAGGGGCGAGACCCCAGACCTATATCGCCCGGTCGGTCCGTGAATGACAGGTTTATTTCATTGAGCTCCTCGTCGGGTGTGGTGCGTTGCGAATGGTAGCTAGTTAGTTGTGGAACGCTTATGTATTGTACTGACGATACCAGGTGGCCGATTCCCACCTCGCACACTGATAGTTGGACTGGGTCGGGCTTGCCCATCGTCTCTCCGACCATGTTACCCTCCTACGGACCGAAAGAGTAGGCAACCCGCACGCACGTCTGCATGCGGTAAATTTAACTATGGAAGGGCGCGAGGCAAATCTGCCACTTGGGTGCAAAAAATATGATTGCCTTAATTCGGACAAATAACTGATCCAAATCCTGTGTGTATGCGCTCGGAGCTAGTGAGTGATGATAGGCAAACTCGCCCGCACTTCTGTGTGCGCGCTCGATACCGCTCCAACGCGGGGCTGGACTCGACACAAACAGAATACGCCTGATTTAGGAACGTAAAGGAAATAACGATACACAAAGGGATTTGTTTTGGAAAGTGTCTTTTATTCACATTCCAGGAGTTTTAAAATATTTATCACATACAAAGTCAAGATTTAAAAAAGAAAAACAATCTAGGTTCAGTCTTTGATTTAATAGTGGCTGAGGCCGGAGTAGCCCAGACCGGAGTAGCCGAGACCAGAGTAGCCGAGACCAGAGTAGCCAAGACCAGAGTATCCCAAGCTGGAGTAGCCGAGGGGGGCGTGCAGGGGAGCGGCAATGGCGGACTTGGTGATCAGGGGGGCGGAGTAGCCCAGGCTAGAGTAGCCGATGGGGGCGTGCAGGGGGGCGGCGATGGCGGTCTTGGTGATCAGGGGAGCGGAGTAGCTGGAGTAGCCCAGGCCGGAGTAGCCGATGGGGGCGTGCAGGGGGGCGGCGATGGCGGTCTTGGTGATCAGGGGGGCGGAGTAGCCGTGGAGGCCGATGGGGGCGGCCAGGGGAGCGGCGATGGCGGTCTTGGTGATCAGGGGCGCAGAGTAACCCAGGCCGGAGTAGCCCAGGCTAGAGTAGCCCAGACCGGCGCCGTAGCCGTAGCTGCCGGCGTACCCGCTGATGGGGGCGCCGATGAGGCCAGCCTGGGCGCAGGCCACGAGGGCGGCGAGGACGACGAGCTGCAAGTCGACAATGAGGATGTTACAGTCGAGTAAAGACACTGAGCCAAGTGGGCGCTCGGCGCGTCGAACAAACGGAATACTCTAATTAGGCGCTGACCCTACCTTGAATGCCATTTCGCTGGTTGTTGGTTGGTGGATGGGGCTGTGGATTAGCGAAATCTGCAACTGATGCTGTTGGCCGGGCTGGCAGTGCCTTTTATACTCGGGGGGCCTGGCAGGGTCGCTCTGGATGCAGGGAGGGACGCTGTGCCGGCCGCACCCTCCCCTCCCCCCGGCCCCGGCCCGCCGCACACATGTGGAAGGGGGCAAGTCGTGGCCGGGCGGGGTGGGGCCGCACCGCGAGAGCCGCTGGAGCCGGGGAGGGTTGACAACGAGGCGGCCAAGTGCACGGTGTCGGTCAGGTCAGCGAGCCTCGGCAGCAGAGCTCACCCGCGACACCGCAAGGTGAAGGTCCGGCGCAGCGCACGACACCCACGCTTCCCCCGATCGAAAACCAACTAGTCCGTTGAACAATTTCCTAGGGTTTTAGCTGCAAATTTTTAAAAAATGTTTTGGTAGTTAGAACTCCGCCTACTCGTTGCTGATTACTAATGATTATTTTTTTGCGAAATATATGGGCAATTGCAAATAGTTGTGCTGATATGTAACGCAAACTCCTCGTAATTTTTATGAAAAAAAGTCAAGGATAAATGTCCATATACACTCTTGCTCTGGGTTACCGGATTTTTTCCGTTATGGACGTTCTTCCACTTCCGGCCCAAGGGGTGATGGGGTGGTGGGGGTGCAGCGTGGTAGTCCAATAACACCTTCCGTTGCAGCGTGAAAGTTAGGCGACGCTGACACACTGCACTAATAAAAGTAGTTGTTTTCCTTAAGAGAACTTCTAGAGAATACGCCCACGTTTCTCAGATGCAATCGATAAACTACGAGAGCTTAGCGCCTGCGATACTCGGGATAGGCCACCCCGCAGTACACACATGCACGGCAGGCAACATGTTGCCTACCACCTAGGCGCTTACAGACCTCGCAGTGCCTGCAAATGGGCAGCAAATGACGGCTGCCTGGACGATCCCACTGCATGAGGTCTTAGTTTAAGAGCGGGTTTATTCCATAGAACAACATCAATTTTTGTAGTCTACGTCTCGTGTTTTTGTTGTTGTACCTTTTTTTGGACGGTTCTTTAGTCTCTTTCTAAGCGCGAAACGAGAGCGTCGCTTTGAAGGACACCTTTGGAGCACGTTGTTGGTCAGCGGTTCGTTCGTGCCCCCGGGGCCCTCCGGTGCCGTTTGCATGTGTGGGTGTGTCTATATGT